AATGGAGTACAACGACAAGGGTCAGATTGTTACATTCAGCGGAAGGGTTGTCGATGCGTCTGACCATCTACCTGTCGACAACTGGGCGCCTGAACCAGTACCGAAGGGCACGGTGAAGGAGAAGGCTCCTCGCACAAGAGCTCAGCTTAATGGCAGTAGAGACCTCGAGGCCGCCATGCAACGCGAGGAACGATACCAACGAGAGCGTGCCGACAGAGAGCGCATTCGTCATGCAGCCAGCATGAACTTTGACAACAGCAACGCCCTAGTCACCACGAGACACGACTTCAATAACGACTACAACCAGCCTGTGAATGCAGGTGCGCTGGTCCTCGCAAGCCAGAGCCAGCACAACGCACCTCACAATCCAACAGCACGCAGCAGGCCCACAAGGCGCGACCAACGCCCCGTATCCGCCTACGACACACCTCCGCAGTACCAACTGCCAGACCGACAGGTCCTCCGCGAACGCGACAACCCCAACAGCTACGGCAGCAGCCCTAGCTACGACCGACGTGATACCCAGAGGCATAGTGTCGCGGCACCGCCTATCCCCGCAAAGGTACCCATGGACATGAACGGCGGCGGCTACGGTACACAGAACGAGGACATGGCTCTCAGCTTGGAATTGCAGAGTATTGACATCGGTCCTGGTTCCGGCGGACGTCGGCCACGCGCCGCTACGGCTAGACGACAGTACGGATACTAATGGCACAACATGGAAACGCTATACACCATACCCCTTTCACGCTTCTTGACGGCGCTTGTACGATAATGTTTTTTGCGTTTGTGGAGGAAGCAGTCCTTTCTTTCCTTTGACTTTCCCACACACTTCTTAGCTCGATGTCTGGACGCTGGAGCCTGGCATGTCGGAGTACTTTTTCTTTTCTTCTTCCCTCTTCTCTCTTCTTGGATCGATGCCTTGGGATATCATGCATAGCATCTGGCTTGCGTAGATTGCGGTTTCTTCTTGCGCCTTCGTGCGCCCTCTTCTGCACTTTTTGTAGTGTTCTGCTCTGCTGGCTTGATATTGAGCGCGAAGATAGATACCAATACCTGAATATGTCTATTTCATCCAGTCTGCTTTCAACCATGATTCATCGAATGAATACATCGCCCATCTCCTCGAGTTTTGTGATAGTGAGCTAACGATCCCGCTGTGGATCTTGACAACTAGTAACGTTGATATAGGCTGCCGACCTGCTCAGTGTTTCCCTCGGTTGGCATGACGGCACGGCACGCCAGCCAAACACGGGAGGTTGCGCACATACATGTTGGTAAGTTACGCTTGAGCCCTTCGCTGCCTTGATCATAGCAATGCGTGAGTGATTGGGTCATATTTGTATGGTCACAGATCGTCACCTGTACGACAAAATACCCATGGTCTCGAAGGCACTTCGACCTCTTCCTGGCTGAGTTCCAATGACTCCTTTCGCCGTACACACCATATATGCTACCGACGGGGGGGGGGGGGGGGGGGGGGGGGGGGGGGGGGGGGGGGGGTGGGGGGGGGGGGGGGGGGGGGGGGGGGGGGGGGGGGGGGGGGGGGGGGGGGATGGT